GCCCCCGGCCTGACCTTCGTCTCCACCCCTCCGCTCTGTCCCCTGTCCAGAGTCATCATGGCTTTTTGCCCTCAGTTGACGCTTTTACTTTGGAAAAACTACATTTATCGCAGGAGACAGCCGATCCAGCTACTCGAGGAACTGCTGTGGCCCCTGTTCCTGTTCTTCATCCTGGTGGCCATTCATCACTCGCACCCCCCAGTAGAGCACCACGACAAGCCACTGCCATCTGGCTCCAAGGACTGATCTACTCTTGCTTCCAACATCCAACGCCAGGAGAGAAGCCAGGGGTCCTGAGCAACTTTAAAAACTCCCTGGTCTCCCGGCTCCTGGCTGATGCCCGCTCAGTGCTGGGAGGCCGCAGTGCCCGAGACACACTGGCTGCCCTCGGGAAACTGTTGCCATTGCTCAGAGCTGCCCAAAGTGAAGCTTGGCTACAACGGAATGACCAGCCAAATGAAGAGCCCATGCTGACCACAGAGATCCTAGAGACGCTTCTGAAGAGGGCTTCCCTGGTGTCTGCAATGGGGCAAGCCCAGGACCCCCTGGCCCGCTTTCTGGATGCTGCTAAGGACTTTGCACAGGAGCTGCTGACCCTGCCCAGCCTGATGGAGCTCCGAGGTCTGCTGCGGAGGCCCAAAGGGATAGCTGGGCCCCTAGAGCTGATGTCAGAAGCCCCGTGCAGTGACAAGGGGCCTAGCAGCCCAGGTGGCCTCTCCCTCAATTGGTATGACGCCAGCCAACTAAGCGACTTCCTGGAGCCTGAGCTGGTGCCTACCCTGCCTGATAGCAGCCTCAGCCCTGCCTGCTCTGAGTTAATGGGAGCACTGGATGACCACCCACTATCACACCAAACTGGAGGAGCCGGAGCATTGACTAGAAGACATCTTTCCTCGATTCGGGATGCCTCAGGTAATAGGGTCAGATAACGGACCGGCCTTCGTCTCCCAGGTAAGTCAGAAAGTGGCCAGGTTGTTGGGAATTGATTGGAAATTACATTGTGCTTACAGACCCCAGAGTTCAGGCCAGGTAGAAAGAATGAATAGGACAATTAAAGAGGCTTTAACTAAATTTTCGCTAGCAACTGGCACTAAAGACTGGGTGGCCCTACTCCCCTTGGCCCTATACCGGGCCAGGAACACTCCTGGGCCCAGTGGGTTGACCCCATTTGAAATCCTGTATGGGACCCCTCCCCCTGC